ATAATACTTGCGCTACTATGGAGCAGAGCCAGACCGAACTTCCCGACCTCAAACTTTGTGGGCGGGATTAAGTTCGGAATGGCACCCAGGCTAGCATGACGTTACCCTGATTGATAAGGTGAAGAAGATGGGTGGATGCTTCCAGTTTTTCAGACTCTCCATTAGAGGGCATCCTGGTTGCTGGGCTGGGTGTGTAATCTCCCCCCCTTCACAGGTGCACCTCATCAGCTTCTTTGCTTCACTCTTTAAGCAGCTCAAAGAGAAGCCATGGACTGGGTTCATCATATGACAGGTCTCAGCTTCTATGGCATAAAATTGCCTCCATTAATTCATCAGCGACACTACCTGCCCGCTCATCCTTGCTGGATTCTCTGTCTTCTGGTGGAACAGGCAAACAAACTGTCAAGAACCCCATACAGACTTGCTACAGAACTACAGTACCACATTGACTCACCACCAACTCTGTTCTGTTCACACATCCCCATTCAGTTGCCAGGATTTCCCCACTGACACTCGTCTTTCTTCTCCCTCGTTGCTGTTCCAAACAGACCAGATACTGTGTTGCACACATTCATTGTATTAAAAAAACCTGTTGCACCTGATTTCTGTCCTTCTGAGTGTTCATCAGGCTTGTGGGTAAGAAGCTTAAAGTATTTCATGACACTATTGTGACATTTGTACAACATAGATTCTTTAAAATCCATCCATCCATTTTCCATCACGCTTATCCCAAGCGGGGTCGCGAGGGGTGCTGGTGGAAAATTCTTTATATTATTTTGTAAAATTATTCAAAATTATCACAACGCTTGCTATTTTATTTGCTTTATTTTTAGCTGATTGCTCTTGTTTTTACAGATGTATTTCATTCTTCTGTTTTAAGATCCCCTGTTGTTCCTTCTGTGTTCTGTTAATCAAGTTGTGATATTATATTTTGAGTGAGTTTCTTTATCTAGTTAGTCTTAATGCTGTTTTTTTATGCTCCATGATTACCAAAGTGTTTTGATCTCCCCATAAAATCCCCTGCCTTACATACCAGTACTAAAACTCACCAGCTATAAATACTGATCAACCTTCTGTTGCCAGTCACCCTGTTTGTTGGTGCCTCCTGCAACTTCTGGTGTTGGGTATGTCCTGGATTCTGTAATGATCTATCAGTGTGTCTCCGTGAAGATAGACTAAAAGTTCTTTCTGTATGTCTGGTTCTGCCTCCTTGAACCGCAGTTGGCCTCTGCAGATGACAGCTCACTCTGAGTCTGGTTCTGATGGACATTTCTTCCTGTTAAAAGGGAAGTTTCTTCTCCACTGTTGCTACAAGCATGCTTGGTGTGTGGGTTTGCTGTCGATGCAATCAGATGTTTTTTTTAGATAAAACCTCAAACAAATCTGACTGTATGATCAGATTGAATTGTCTCTGTCTTCTGTGTGTTGCTGAGGGGATGTTTTCATGTCTCTCCTGTTCAGAGCTCCTGCACAGGTGCTTTCAGTCATAGTCCGCACATAAAGAGGGGTGACAGGTTGAGGAGTGACATGTGGAGGTGTGACAGCCTCGGCTTTTTCTTCTTCCAGTCCTTGCAGCTTTGGTTGCAGGAGAGCTTCTGTTTAAGCATTTGATCCAGCAAGTTCCTTTGTCTGGGCACCTGTTTTGGATGTGACCAAGCATTAAATGGCCATTATTAGCAGTTATTAGTCCCATAATATGGCCACATTTACCTTCTAATAGGTTTGTTATGCCTGATAATTGCAGCTTATTTTTGAAAATAGCAGCTTCTTTCTATTTACCTATTTTTATCTATTTTCTTTGCAGCCTACCTTCTTTTTTTTTTTTTTTTTTTTTTTTTTTTTTTTTTACTGTGTTTATAAAGCTTGACTTTTAGTGAATTTCCCATTCAGTCACATGGATTTGACCGTTGTAAGGATATTAGATTTTTTGGGGGGAGG